CTGTCCACACCCAAGGATGTCCCCACAATGCCCCCCACACACAGCTCAACAACACCCCGTCCACACCCAAGGATGTCCCCACAATGCCCCCCACACACAGTTCAACAACACCCAGTCCACATCCAAGGATGTCCCCAGTAACGTCCCTACACTGCTGCCAAGGACCACGTCAGCAAGCAAATCTGCGGTCATGGCCCAAGGAGGTGTGCACGGGGTGAACAGGGAGGCAGGAAGAGTAAGGTCATTGTCTCAGCCAGGATGGCGACCATGTTCCAAGACACCTCACGGCTGCAGAGCCCTCAGAAGAGGCCCGGCCCCTCTGTGCCATCAGCTGAACACCATCCCAGTGAGACACACATGTCCACTATGCTCGATAGCCAGCTCTGACCCACACCATGCTGTGTCGTCCTGCGTAACCAAGAACCCCCAGATTCGGTCTGTGTCCCGCAGCCTCCTGGCAGGGATGAGTGGAAGGTTCCAGATCTATCTCATTGCCATGAGGACACACATCAGGGAGAAAGACGGCTGCCCCCCACACAAACAGGCCCTAAAATTGTATCCGCTGGGTGGAGGGCTGATGGGGCAGTTTCTAGCAAGATAAAAGCCACACCAACTAGGGGGGCGTGTCCCCCACTCCACATTTTCTAGACATTTTGTGCTCAAGTGGACAGTGGCACCAGCATGCCATCGATGCCTAGGCCAGGACCCCCAGGCTGCTGGACACTTGGAACAACCTCCCACCTCCCACCATCTTCCAATCCCAGACCAGGAGAGCTGGCGGCCACAAGTCTGTAGGACCAGCGGATGGTGAGATGCTGAGAGTGGGAGTCCAGGGTGTGTGCGCTGCTCCCTTCACTTGCTGAAGATGTAGACAAAATGCAAGGCCGCCCGCTGGCTCCTCTATGCGTGAAGCTCAAATCATTGATGATTCCAAGGAGTCCCTGGTGGTGCCAAGAGTCAAACACTCAGCTACTAACTGAAAGGTGATTTGAACCCATCCAGAGGCAACTTGGAGGACAGGCCTGGTGAACTGCTCCCAAAAGTCTTGAAAACCCTGAGTCTGACACACATGATATTAACCACCACCACCAGCAGCAGCAGCACCGCCATCACCACCACCACCATCACCACCACAACCACCATCAACACCACCACCATCACCATGAGCATCACCACCATCACCAT